TTTTGGTTCAACTAATTTAGTATTTTAGTTGGGGGTGTTTTTGTTGTAATTATTAGCTTAATTTGTAAAACCTACTTAAAAAAAAGAAGTTGTTTTTGTCTGATGTGGTATTACCAAATCAGAGACTAATGAGTTCTATTTATTTGATTAGGATTTAGGATGTTAATGTTTAATGAATTTATATTTTGTTCAATCATAAGAAGTTAGCTAATTTGAGTTGATATGCTATTTATGTTGTTAGTATTAGCTTTGGTGTTTAAAGTTGCTGCTTGATCTTATTGAAAATCATGGTTGCCATTTGAATTACTTTTTTTTTATTATTATTTTTAATTTGTTTATATTACTCCAATGCTTGGTTAATTTACTATTTTTTGTTACTTTATAGGTTTTGAATCATAATGGAGGGTCAAAAAATGAAGAAAAAAAAGACAATCAATTCATTCTTTAAGCCAAAAGAGCATACGTCGACAAGTCGAGATCCTCCTTCTACCGATGATGTTGCCGCCTCTATTGATATGAGTTCACTTGAACGTGACCCGGCATTACGTACTCCAATATGGAAATATCCCGTCAACCAAAGAGATGAAATCAGACGAGCTTATATTAAGATGGGACCATATCAACCTATCCAGAATGAATATCCACCGAGGAAATTCGGAGCTCAAAATCAAAGATTTCAAAGCAGTTGGTTCAAGAAGTTTACTTGGTTGGAGTACTCACCTTCTACGAATACTGCATTTTGCTTCCCGTGTTTCTTGTTCAAAAATAATCAAGCTCGAAATCTACCATTTACTACAGAGGGATTCAAGAATTGGAAGCGAGTTAATGACGGAGGCAATTGCTCCTTCTTGCTACATATTGGAGGCCCTACTTCATCGCATAACAATGCTTTAGCCTCCATTGATTGTTTGAAGAATGTGCCGCGTCACATTGATAAGCTAATCAACGCACAAACTTTAGAGGAGAAGCAAAAGAATAGATTGCGGCTTACAGCAACTATTGAAAGCATCCGATGGCTCACTTTGCAGGCATGTGCATTTAGAGGACATGATGAATATCCATTATCAACTAATCGTGGAAATTTTATCGAAATGCTAAAGTTCATGGGAAGAATGAATGATAGTATTGGAGGCGTAGTCCTAGAGAATGCTCCAAGAAATGCAAAGTATACTTCTCCAGAAATTCAAAAAGATGTTCTGAATATTCTTGCTCACCAAGTGAGATCCAAAATTCGTGAGGAAGTTGGAGCCGCGAAATTTTACATTTTAGTGGATGAAGCGAGAGATAATTCCAACAAAGAGCAGATGGCGATTGTGTTGAGGTATGTTGATATTGATGGCTTTATAAGAGAGCGTTTCTTTGCTATTGTTCATGTCCTTGATACAACCGCCGCGACCCTCAAGAAAGAAATATTGGATGCTCTAAATCGATATGATTTACATGTTCACGATATGAGGGGACAGGGTTATGATGGTGCTAGTGTTGAGTATATTTTTGGGCATGTGGTAACCGAGCTACCCGACTCGGGTCGTTCTCAAAGGAAGGCTCTTCGGAGCTTCGTCCACTATCGAGTCGTCAAAATCACACAATCGAAAAGGTCCTAAACATTCTACTCGCAAATTGAGGGGATTTGAATTAAACACTACTCGCAATAGGAAATCGAAAGCAAATGAAAACTTAAAAACAAAGATGAGAGCTTTAGGTCAACCGGGGTCTCTATCACTCGAACCAACACACAAAGAACCGAGGGACATCAACATTGCCAAGTGATCCTAGGTCATTAAATCGAGCTTTCTACTAAATGACTACACTTTTAAACAAAGTCGCAATCTTTAAACAAGATAAGCACAAACTAATCCCTAACACACGTCGACAAGCTACAAGTATCGAACATTCCTCCGATCAACAAGCAAAACCACATTCACCTTGAA